GATCCATGTTTTTCCATGATGTGACTCAAAGATCAAAATCTTTTCTTCCTAACAGCCAGACTAAGAGAAAGCCAGAGGAGAGCAGACAGGCTGGTCATTTAGCACACAATAAGTGGCCTCCACCCAGGAAGGAATGGGAAGCTTCAGTGAGTCAGTGCCCTCCAGGTCAGGGCAACAACAAAGGCCAGAGAGGCCTGGCGAGGGAGAAACAGCTGGGCAACAGCAGTGCCAAGGGGTTAAAGGATGGCACAGCAGCCCAGAGAATGCTGGGAAATTCTCCATCCCCAGACTCTGAAGAGAACCCCCAGGGAACATCCCCTGCTGCCATTGGATGTCCTCCAATCTCTCTGAAAGGCAGAAAAGGGCCAATGCCACACACACACACACACACACACACACACACACACACGGACACACATGCCATGTAGAAAAGACCCTGCTGCCACAGGAGGTAATTTGTGTCACATCTGATAAAAAGGATGACTTGGCTTGCCAATGCACTGACATTTGGTTTAACTCTTTTGTTTAGCAAGAACATAAAATGTTAAATCTGATTGTAGAAATAAGATAATTAGTAATAGCAATAATGTATCTGTGTAATCAAGAGTCAAGCGATTCAGTAAAAAACTAAAAATTTTGCAGGCCACATTTTTTTCTTACAAAATGAAAATGTCCTTAGTGAGACTTATAGGGAAGAATGATATATTCTTAATTGAATGTCATTGAGAAGATAGCACTGCTAAATTTTAGTCAGGAAAATGTCAATATCTGCACACTCTTGTGAAGCAACAACACAGGCAGCTTCTTAATCTTCTATCATGAATTCAGATCAAAGCCTATCTTGAAATTGGGTGGGCTGAACATTATAGGCCACATTCATTCAAATCTGTCCCTCTCTCTCTCAGACATTTTCTTCCCCACCACTACCCCCAACTCTCACCCCTCTACAGAGAGAACAGCAGGATGCAGTAGGAGTTGACACACCAGCTTTTCATGTTGTCTTCATCTCTTATTCAGCATATCTGAGCCTCAATTGCCTCACCTAGCTTCAAGGAAACAAATCAGGTAACTAACATGATAGCACTTTGAAAGAGATATGCATTCAGCATTTGTTTAAAAAAAATACAAAGTTTGTCAGTTCATGATGATGAATTTGAAACTAAATACAGATTATTTTGATAAAATATTATAATGAGTAAAAAGTATATGATGGATATTTATTTAAATGAATACTGGTATTGTGTATTATGTGTTTCAAGAGAGACTAAATCTCCCAACTCTTCCCTTTAAAAAAGTGCTATGATAGTTATAAAATTAATATTGATATGAATATCTTTAATTTGTTTCTAGAATCATTAAGTTACATTAAAGATCATCTGAAAAGGATGACTGAGACTTTGATATACAATATTATCATAATAAAAATTAAACACAATTAAGGAACAAATCTAATTTATGGATATACATTAGTGCATGATTGTTATTTTGAATGATTAAAAAGATTAAATCTATGCAATGAGTGCTCCATAGATCCAAGGCATAAGAGTAAATTATTTTATATTTACTGGGGCTTGCTTGCTAAGTCAAAAGGTGCTGCTTCATTTGACATCATTTATAGTATAAAAGAATGATTTTGCTAGCCAGGAAAATAAAATCTATTTAAAGAAAAATGTATGTGTGTGTGTATGTATGTATATGTGCATATATATATATATATAAATTTTTTTATTGGTCAAGTTTTTAAAAAGTGTTTCCTAACCAAGACTCTTCATTTTTGTAGAAATTCCTTTTCATAGTTTATTAGGTGTTCCACATTTTCAATTTTCTTCACATTAAGTACTAATGTTTTTCATCTGAACTGGCTATGAATAATTAATACTACTAATTAAACTCGAGGAAATATGAATTCAAGAAAATCACTTAGGTCTTTACACAGCATACTTTCCTTTTACTCTCTACATTTTCTGGACTTTCCCCAACATTCCCTGTTACTAGACACTAGCTCCATTCACTTATTGTCCTGAAAATACTCAGAGAGCAGGGCTTGTCATACCTAACACTTATTTCAAAACCTATGGGCACTCATAATTTATAAGAAAGATTTTTTTAATGTGCAAAGTGAAACAAATGTGTGTATCTTATAGACAATTGTGAACTGGTGAACTTTTTGTTTTGTTTTGTTGGGAGTGAGTAGGTAATGAAGAGCTATATAAGCTTCGTGGAACCTCAGAGACTCAAAAAATCTAAAATAATTTTTAAAATGTAATTAAATGAGTAATTCTCACTCTCCTCTCCAGATTTTCAGAACACATACAAAAGTCAGTAAAAAGCACCAAGGCATATACCAGGTGCCTCTAAAATAACCCAGTTTTCCTATATGCACTCTTGCAACTGCTTATTAAAACAAAGTTACTGAGTATTTCTATTCATTGTTGCTTCTGTTAGATAATAATGGCCTATTTTTCCAGGCATATTTTAACTTCGGAAACAAATTTACCATCAGGAAATTTCTAAAAATGAACTTCATAAGAATGTAACTTCCACCAAAACATAACACCCTCATTGGACCAATGTTTATTTAAAATCATCAATATTTTCATGACATGAAAATCCCCTCATAATGTATGCTATAAAAATGTTTAAATTTGGAAAACATCTGGTATGTCAAATTATTTGGGAGCTTGTGGTTTTAAGTATATTGTTTGAGGTAGTATATTTGGAAAGAATTCACTTATCATTCCTAGGCTTCCTAAGGAAATAGCCCTAAAAACAAATGTATGTGGTAGTTCACTACTACCATAGAGAATCAATAGCCATCTATTTAATTTGCTAAGACAATGTAAATTAGTAACTTCCAGCCAGATGTGTGATATACACATCAAACAAACTGCAACCTGTTCATTATGAAAATCCTGTCAACACACACAGAGCCACTTGATGACATTTCATCTAAAGCAGTTTCCACATTTGCAGCTATAAAAATTGTCCTAAGAATTTTTATACAAGGAATTGAAGCTGAGACTCATAAAAGGGTAATCAATTTCAGCTTTTCATCTTGCATGCCTACATACACATGCTTCTGTGTTTATTTCTATTTTCATTTCAAGGTATAAAATGTTCAGAAAAAATATATGCCATGCTATTTTTCCTTCTATAAATCATTTATTTATTCTCATTATATCTCTTTTAATCTCATGTAAAGTTGGTCCTTTAATTCTGCAGCTCTAAAGAAGTGTGAAAAGTGAAGATTGACAGAGTCAACAGAAGAAAAAAATGTACACTTATCTACTGGAAAATAAAACAGAATATTTCAAAATGACTCCGAACATAAATTAAGTTTACCCATTGGGAGGTCTAACTTGCATTCAGATCATTTATGTGGGGTCTGTATGACTATCTACCCTGCTGTTTGATAAAAAAAAAAAAAGAAGAAGAAAATGGTTACTAACCACAGGCACCCACCAGAGAACAGAATGTAAGTACAATGCTTGTGATGTCTCAGACATACAAAGCACCTTCTTAAAGAATGTCTGTTTCCTTTCCATGGTAAGCAGACATAATTTTTCACACTTTAATACTTCTCCTTCACAGAGTGGCTTATTTTATGAATTATGCTTTGCCATTTTCTCTTACGTTTGTTTTAGTAATATGGAAAATTACTTTCATAAAATAGGTGGTTTTGTATTGTGATACTCAAAATATTGATAAGTTTTCTGTTCTGTGTGAAAATACACAGCCTTCTTGCTATTACAAAATAATAATATTGATTTTAATACTGCTTACTAAAATGAAAGAAATTAAAAGATTATTCTTAATAACTAGCTATTATTCTTGAATATTGAATCCTCATCTAAACCAAATTCATTTTCTAAGTCTGTTGAATTAAATTTTCTTATTAAACAGGACACAGAATAAATAGTCTTATTACCAAACATATTTCCAAGTACTACATTTTTAATTTGGCAATTTAAAACAACATGGAATGAATGCAGTCCTCATCACCTGTAGTATAGTCTGATTCCAAATAACACCCCTTAACCAATTTCTTAATGTCTAAATAGCATTCTACTAAGTGCCTGATGTGTCAACATTTCCAAAGTAAATAATCCTTGAGGTTCCCTAAAATCACAAGAATTTCAACCTCTACAAAAAAAAAAAAGGCAACTGCACACACAACAGTGTTTTTCATAAAGGCTTTAACCCTAAGCAATTCGACTTTCACAAACATTATACAGAACGTGCTTTCTTCACCAGCCTGCCCCACACGAGGTCACGTGATCAGCCTGCAAGGCCACACTGAGGACCAGGAATGATTATTGTTTCTAGAAAGAATAAGGCTCAAATTCAAGCCGCTGCAGTTGCCCAGTCAGTTGCACCCGCAGGTGGTACCTCAAGCTCAGCTCCTCACCCAGGGAAGCGATTACACTGCGTGTGGGGCTGGGACTTCCAATGTTAGCTAGGGTCCCCTTGCTTTCTGGGAGTTAAAGTCAGACTCTCCTGGTCACTTAAGCCCCCTTTGTGGTTCAGGGGAAAAACCATTCTCTCAGAACTCTCAACTTTGGCGACTCTGGTTAAAATTAAGAACTTCAAACCCCAGATTTGAAAAAGTGAAACAGATGTCCTGTTTGTTAACCATAAATGCCTCCGTACGTGGAATCTTTTCCCCTCTCTCTCTCTTCTTCTTTCTGCCGCATTAAGTTTTATTTAATGCAGAGTTCGCTTAAAAGGTTAAGAGAGAGAAAGAGAAGAAAGCAAATATGGACTGTGATGGAAAAACTCCTAAATCTTTCTCTAGAATATAAGGATGAAAGCCTCTTCAGAAAGATGAAAGTGTTCAACCTGCCTCCTCTCAGCGTAGCCAACACTTGGAGGTCAAACTGACATCCCAGATGGACCCCAGCCTCACTTAACCTGGGCGCCCGTCGCCCGCCACCGGCACCCTCACGGACGGAGACCGGGGTCTCCTGGAGCGTGTGAAGGGGTCCCAGGCTTGCACTCACGTGAGGACGTAGTTGACGCTGACGATGCAGTGTGGTCTGGAGGAGCGGCTGTTGTGCACAATGGTCGCGTAGCTCTGCACCCACACCCATCCGCCCTGTTTCGCCAGGAACCTGTAGTATTTGGTGGTCACCTGCCCTTTCACCAGCACTGATTGAGAGACAGAAGGCAGAGGGTAGTGAACCAGGTTGCCTGTCACTGGTCCCAAATGCAACCCCTGGTGGTGAGAGTGCGGCCCCCTATGGGCCCCAATATCTGCACCAGGCAAGAGGGAGGGACAGCAGGCAAATTCCCAAAAGGATGGATTGTCCTGTTAAATTGCGTGGAGTCCTCTGGTCACTCTTACAGGGATGATAACGGACAGGGTGGGCCCCCACCATTTGCAAAGGGGGCAACATTTAAAGTGGAGGTATACCCCAGATTCGCTTTTCTAACTACAGGAGGAGCAAAATTCTGAGACTCGGGTTCCCTGACCAGGGAGTCGAAGCTCAAAGCAAAGCTATATCAAAAGCCGAGCGCGAGGGAAGTTGACTAGCCTTGGGTTTCATTCGCAGCTTTAGTGAGGTTCGTAGATGGGGAAAATATCAGCAGGGAAATAAGACAGCTCCCGGAGGGATTTAGCCCCAAACGCCCCTTTCACCTGCGTTAGCGGCTGCGTTTGTCAGAGAAACCAGGTGGGGCCCTGAGTCCCAGGAGTCCCTCACGGGGCCTCACACACCACCAGCACTGGCTACAAGGGCTCCCACCTGTCCCCTTGCGACGGAAGGAAAACCCCCACCTCCCTCAACTAAGGATGCGCTGGGGCTGTCCGGGTGTGGGGCAGGGTAGCGCCTTACACAGGTGGTGAGCGCAGCGCAGGTGGAAAGTGTCGCAGCCGTGCACATGGTGGTATAGAGTCTTCTCAATTAGGTCCTGAGGTTCGTACCCGGTCAGCTCCGCCACCCTGAAGAGAGCAATCCCCAGGGTAAGTGCGGGCAAGCGTAAATAGGGGAGTGTCCCCTACCCACGACAGCCGCCTCAGACCTGGGTGCCCTTCCAGGGCCCAGCCAATCGCCTCGCCTGCAAAATGGGCTCACATACGATCACCAGAAAGCTGGCAGTCACTAAGCAGGGCCGCTCTTACGCTAGGGGCGGCCCTTTCCGCCTTGCCTACCCACCTGGAGTCCAGAAAGATGAGCTTCATGTCCAGGCTGGCGCGAAACATAAACATGTTGCTGTGTAGCTTGATCTCTGTGACAGCACTGGGAGGCAATGAGTGGCCCACGGCCACCAGGCCCACGTTCTGGTAGCAGCCATCAAAGGGGGACATGTCCAGGCTGTATTGGCGGATCTTCAGGTAGCCGCTGCAGTGGATGACCTGCAGCGGAGGGTTTTGGGGTGAAAATCCGCCAACAGTCAGGAGGAGCCCCCCAAAAGTAGGGAAGAGATTGAAACACGTTGAGACTCTCCTCAGCCACACCTGCTGTGTGGGCGTGCCTTTGCACTAAGGGCTCCAAAGTTATTGGTGCTTCAAGGTGTTTTAAGAAAGTGCACTGCCACACTGAACTCACCTGGGAGCTTGTAAAAATGCAGAAGCCTAGGTCCCACCAACCATAAAGCATCCAAATCGCGAAGTAGAGCCCTGGAACCTGCTTTCTAGTGATGTTTCCATAGCATTTAAGTTGAGAACCACAGCTTTGAGCTCCAGTTCTTAATCTCTCCGGAGGTCAAAATTGACTCTATGGCTAAATACTTAGAAATCCACCAAAGTTACTCGCCATTTGGGAGGCTTTATTGACCCCTAAGGCCCATCTCTAGAGCCACAGGTTAAGAGCCCCAACTGCCGCACAGTATCCAGACTCAGTCAGACTTAGTCTTTAAGCATGGTCCCCAGGTATCCACGAAGTTCAGTGACCCTTGTAGGGCGCGCCTGCGGGAGGCTCACTGTCTCCGGCAGAGCGCGCTGGGGGGGGGGGCGGTCCCGGCTGCCGGAATGTCCCTCCCACGCCGCACGCGCCGGCTGTCCTGCCCCCTCCGACTACACTCAGCGTCAGTCTTTCGCTCAGCTCAGTCACGCACCTTGTAGCCGCCGCAGGTGAGGCCGGCGTTCCGCTTGGCCAAGACACACTTCATCCTCAGGAAGAAGGAGCGCTCGATCTCGTACTCTGGGAGAGAGGAGCGGAGGGAGGCTCAGGGCGGGAGACAGGCGGCGCGGCGCCGGTCCCTGTCACGACTAACTGGGGAAAAAACCACAAGAGGACTGAGATGGGCCCGAGCGTCGCAGGCACGTTTCTGCCTTACCCTGCACGAAGTGAGAGTGATAGGGCTGATGGGCGGTGAGCACCGCTGTCATCTCGTCGTGGTCTGCCGGGTGGATGTATTCGTAAATGCTGTTTCCGGTCAGCTCTACCTGTAAAGAGGAGGGTGTCACCATCTCCGTGGTGGTGGAATGCCCTTGAAGATGCTGAAAGTTTGGGCCAGGGATTCTGCAGTACCGTCAGGACAGAAGCCAGAATTTTGAAATCGCCCGTCAGTCCCAATTCCAACTCTGCTACCTGCTACCTATTCCAGCCTATATAAGCCTCGGCTCCATTATCTATGAAATAGTAGTAATAGCAATAGTAAAGAGGAGGAGGAGTAGCAGCTCCCTGGCAATTTTCCAGTAAAGACACTATAGACTAAGTGTGTAACCTCCTCCCACTGTGTCTGGTTTATGGTAGGGACTAAAAAAAAATAGCCATTATTTGGGCCTGGGGTGGAAGCTAAAGGATAAAAAAAAGTTGAGGAATGGGGAGATCCAGACCCATTTAAATAGTCCTCTGGCCAGCTATGAGGTTTCTAGCCCCAGAAATGCAAATACAAAGTTTTGAGGAAACTCCCTCCCCCTGCTTCCAACTGGAAGTTTGAACCACTCACCTACCTGAGAAAGACCCAGGTGTACTGAGGCTGTCTCCGAGATGTACATGATCTTCCCATCTGGGGCCACCACAAAGATAAAGCCATCCAGGGTCTGGGGAGGCAGAAATAGAGTGAATGGAGAGCCCTCTGGGCTATCTGGAGAAATGGGAGGGGGGACAGAAGTTAGAGACACTCAGCCAGAAGTGAGAGAGATGGAGTGGACAGGGGCTGGAAGGAAATAGGACATAGGAGACTGTGTGAGTCCCCTCTTTCGTTCATTCTAAATTTGTAAGCATGTGGGGTATGCAGCTCAATGGGAGACATTCAGAGGAAGTGGTGGACAAGGCTAATGCCTTCCAAGACTCAGGATCCACCAAAAGGAACAAAAGAGATCATCTGTAACACATACACACACTCATTCTGGGTGAAAATCACAGCCTACAATAAGAAGTGGGTTAGGTTTGGTGGCGATGGTCACTGAAAGAATCAGAGGTCTCCTGTGGCAGTCTTGAAGGATTCCATAGTGGCAGTGTTCTGTAATGGAAAGAGTAATAGCAAGGTTTGGGAAAGATCTGGTGCAGTAGGCACTGATAGACTTGGAAGGGCTGGCAGTCTGAAGTTTGTAGACAGAACAAACCTGGCCAGTGACTCTGGAAAGAGTCCAGGAGAGGGGGATGTAGGAGATGAGAGGCTTTACAAACTGCAAGTCCACTGAGTAGTGCCATAATGTGTATGTGTGTTTAAGTTTACATTGACACATCAATCTGACAGGCTGTCCATGAAGGAAAGTCTAAGACTTTCATTGTCCCTTTATCTCTGTGAAGAGACCTCAGTTCAGGCAAGGTGAGTCAGACCTTGCTCTCAACGAGCTGGAAGTCCAGCAGGAGCAACTGGCCTAAAGATAGAGACAATAACCACACAACTGAATCTACAGTCTGAATAGGCAGGGGTGCTAGTGGCTGAGCAACCAGAGGTCTGTGGTAGAATCACAGAGGCCTTACAAGAGCTGCTATTTGAACAGAGCCTTGAATAGGAAGTTTGGACTGGACATGGAAGAAAGAGCATTCTAGGCAGAAGGGATAATGTGGCAAAGCCAGGGACTGGGGAGAGGACAGACCTATTGTGTTCTGAGGTGATGAGTTTGGTGTACCAGAGATGGGGCTGAGGAACTACACCCACAATGGATTTTTGGAGTTTGGAATGCTAATTTGAGGAATCTGGAGTTGCTCCTGTAGGCATCAGGGTTCCAACAGAGGTTCCTAAGCAGGAGAATAGCATGCTTACTGTGTTTTGTTTTGTCTTTTTTTCATGGCAGAGTATAGACAGTGACCTACAGGAGGAAGGAGTGGGGATGAGGAGATCAGACAGGGTAACTGCAGCAAAGATGGTCAAGCCTGAACCTGGGTGGTCACAAGAGGGAGAGAGAAAGGGGAGAGCTAATTCAAAGATGGTTCTGGCTATGGGCTTCAGGCTAATTGGTAGCAAAGAGAGAAGTTGAGGTTGACTTCAAGGTTTCAGTGAGGGTGTTGGGCAGATGGTGACATCATTAAATAAGACTGAAAGTTTAGGAAAGCATAGTGAGATTTTTGTATGAGTGGAAGTCTGGGGGAGGGAGATAATGCATTCTTGTTTTGGAAATGCTAAACTTCAGGTGCATGCAGATTTCCATTTTGATGTGTACACTTGGCAGTAGGAAATAAAGGTCTGGAACTCAAGAGGGGGTCTAGACTGGAGAAACTAGCTGGGGTCACCACTGGTAGTGGCCAAGATCACTCAAGAGACCTAGAAGCTGTGAGTGGAGAAACAGAGCTAGAACCTTGGGGAAATAACAGCATTTTCAGACCAGCCAGTGGTGGGAAAATCAAAGAGGAACAGGCAGACAGGGAGAAGAATCTGGGAAATAGTGTTATTTTAGAAACTGAGAAAGGGGGAGAATATCAACTTATCAGTGTCACCTCCCTCAGATCTTTGCCCAAATGTCACCTCAGTGAGGGCTTCTCCAACCATCTCCATTTTAATCAGCACCTCTCCTTCCCCTTCTTCTTTTTCTCTACAGCACCTGTATCACCTGGTACACTATGTAGTGCTCCTGGGTGGGTTTGTAAGGCTGCTCTCCTTAGAATGTAAACTCCAGGAGGGAAAGGCTTTCTGACTGGCAATTGACTCTCCTATATTTGTGGAATTAATGAGCTCAGTTAGGATAAGAGATGAGCATCTAATTCTGGATATCAAAATATAGTGGAACCTGTGCAGGGTACAATTGGTGGGAGAGACACCAGACTGCAGGGATGTAAGAGCGAATGGGGTGGAAGGTGATCTATTGAAATTGGGAATGTAAGTCTTGCCAGAAATCAGGGGTGAAGAAGAGGAAAGAGATTGAGCATGAGGTAGAAAGAGTGAGGGAGAGTGAATTTTGGTTTTTGTTTATATTTCTGAGTAAAATTAGTTGGAAATATGAAAAGATTGAGGAAGGGATACAGGGACATCTGATCAAATATGTGTCAGAAAAGGGAGTTAAAGACCTTTCTAGATAAATTCAAAGGTGTGGAGGCCAGGTTAGTGAGAGAATGCTTGTCCAAGCCCTTTCTTTGTTTTGTAAAACTAAAATCTGTTTGGTGTCTGGAAGGGAGAGAGGGACAGGGTAGTGGTGGGACAGAAGCTCCTGCCAAGAGATGCCACTCATGCCAACCCACAAGGGAGAACCGGCTTAGATTTCCCTGGTGCTGCTTACGTTCCAGGCTCCCACGCTAGGAGCTCCCAGTGGACTTGAATAATAATAGAGTGCCGGGTGGGGGACAAGTGTCAAACCTAAAAATGCCACCGGGAGTTTTGCACTTTAAAATATTTGTTCTGCGATTTAAGTGGGCAATGGGCAATTTAAAACGATAAGCACTACAAACAACAAGTTAATGGGCGCCTTACATAGGTTAAACTTATTACCTGGGGGTGTGTATGTGCCCACGCAAGGGTCTGTACACTGCCTGGGCTGAGGGCTCGTGGGGAGAGAGGAGGGAGGCCCGCACTACAGGGAGATGCCGCGGGTCGCAGACGCAGCTGAATCCGGAATACGCTGGCTTAAAGAACTGACGAGCATTTCTACCAGATTCCTGTTCTTTCCTTTGTAAATTCTTCCTTTCGGTTGGTTCTGCGGCCCTGCCTCCGTGGCCTGGCCTTCAGTGTTCCAGTTCCCTAAACTCAATGGTGACAAATAGCTCCTCCTCCCTTGGTCCGGTAGCCTTAATGCGACCTTGCCCAGCTACCTTCCAAACCCAACTTCTCGGTTGTCACCTTGCGGCCCTCTCATCCTCGAGAGGCCCATTCGCACCCAAGGAAGTTAAGGGTTAAAGGTTTAACTTTGGAAGAGCTGTTAGACTGTGACAGGGCACGCCCAGGCTGGATGACCCCACCCCCAGCTTATTCTTTTTAAAGAAACTAGAAGCCCCACCCTCACGCGGGGCCAGGCACCCAGACCCTTCTAGCATTTGCTCTGCTAAGAAACCAGCGCCTGTACCTGAAGCAAATGGGAGCCCAGTTCGCGGCCAACGTTGTCCAGAGGGCTGGTCCTACTCGAGTGACCCCAAGCCTCGCCGAGCCCTGTGGAGACACAGAAACATCCTTTAGAGACGGAACCAGGACCCAGCTGGCAGTTTGGGACTAGTCCCGCAATTATGTCACATGCGCGCGTGCGTGCGCGCGTACCCACCACTGGATACCTAGGGTCTCCCCTTTCCGCTCGCTCCCTCCTACTTTCTCCCCCACCTCCCACCCCCGCCCACCCGGACAGAGGTGGATGGGAGCCCGTAAGTTCGGTCCCGCCCCTCAGCTTCTCAGCTGAGGTCAGACTCCCTCCCCCTGAACAAACTTGGTTTCTTTGCGCGGGCTGGGCCCTGGCCTAGGGCCTCCCGGCAGTACCTCAAGACAAAGTCCCCAACGCCACAACCCAACGATAACTTCTGAGTAGGTCACTAGTGCGTTTACTGGGTGAAAGACACTTTACTTCTTGCCCAAAGTTTTCATTATCATCCTTTTCCCGAGTCCCAGCTTGTCGCCACTCCCAGCGAACCCGTCTGCTCGCGGCCGCCCACCGCAGCTGCCTGCCCAGAGCGACCTGAGACGACCAGCCAGGTCCAGCCGGTCCCTGGCAGGCTTTCTGATTGGCTGCGGGGTTTCCAGCCATTCTCCTCCCTTCGGCCTTTGACTTTAATCCCCTTCGGAAAAATCTGTTTGCTTGAGCACGATTTCCAGCCTGACGCTTCAGCATCCCTGTGCAATCCTTCCTCTTCTTTTCTCCTCCTAGCTTCCTCTTAGCCTCCCACCCACCTAGTCCCCCCTTCCAAAAAAACAAAAGAACCTCATAGGCTTTTCTGAAGTCAGTTACTTTGAGGTGCTAACAACTTCTTAGGAATAATTTGTTCCCTTCTGGATGTAATCATCCAACTTCTCTACCTCCAGATACCATCTATTAACAAAGACAATCTCTTCCTCTCCTTAATGTTTCAACGTTAAGATCTTCTGAGGCTTTGCCAAGATACCTAAAAAATAAAACGCCCAGGACTCTTGTGGCAGATTTTTAAAAAATTAATATGGAGTCTGCCAGAGTACCTGTTTGCAAAAAGAAAATGAAAAATAACGCAGAAGTAACTTGCGGAGACCAATCGTAAACTATTTATGGGTGATATCTTTTAATGGCGCTGCTGCTAAAATTATTTTAACTAAGTTGTTAAGTGACTGTTACATGATTAAACAAAGTTTAACATGATCCCCCCCACCCCCGCAAAAAAGGATGATTTATTGAGTTAAGGGACAAATCACCATGAAGTACAATGATAAACACGTTCTCATTGTAATATGGAGTTGGGGCGGATCTTTCAAAATAAAACACGGAGTTAGACTTTTAAAAGGTGTTGGCCAGAAGCTGCTTCCTACGCAAGCCCATCAAAACCTCAGCCACGAGTAACCATGAGCGCCCCTCATGCTCAAATCGGTTCTTTCTGGGTGTTTGCACATCTAAATAAATCTAACGATTTCCCCACCGCTCTGCAAACACTGATGTCCCCCGCCCCGGACCGGGACTCCTCTCCCTCTCTCGTGCCGGGTCAACTCCTCCTGACTCTTAAGCCTGCCCCAGTTTCCCTCCCCAAAGTGACTCCACTGCCCTAGTCCCTGTGGTCCTCCTGGACCGTTCTGGAAGGGCTCCGGCCACAGCCACCTGAACACACCCTTCGCGCTTCCTGTCTCAGCCAACCTATTCTCCTTTGATTTCTCAAACAGTATGTTCATTTTTTCTTAATCCCGGCTCAGACATAACCACCCTGAAGGAGTGGAGGGAGGGGTTCGCTGCAGAGAAAATGACCCTGCTGGGAGAGCCAAGGACGCTGGAGGCGCCAGCCCCTGGGCGCCCTTGGGCCTATGGAAGCCTGAAACCCAAAACACCGCGGGGGCAAAGGGCCAGGGCATTTGAGCGAGCCGGGAGGGGGCCAAGGCTGCGTCCTGACGGCAGACACATCTCGGGCAGCTCCCAGAGGAGTGCGAAGTTTGTGCTTGCCACCAACAAGTGTCTTTAATCTAAAATGTCAAGGGTCTCCCAAAGCTGCTGGAAGACGCTCCGGAGCGGCCTCCCGACCCGAATGATCTGAAAATCCCCCGGTTGGGCTCGGGTTAAACACTGGTTCCGAACTCCTGGAGCCAGCCTGGGCTGTTTGTGGTCTCGGGTTGTGGCCTCATTAGTAGGCGCCTACGAGGGAAAATAAGACTTCCCCACAGGTTAATAAACAGCCCGTACCGGCACAGGTTAACAGGGGCCTCCCTCGCCGTCTCCTGCCCACCCCTCGCCACCTTTAAGGAACCTTTTCTTTCACAGAGCGTTGCCTTCTCTTTATGTTCCCGGTCGAAATCTCCATCACAGGGTTGTGTCTGGGTTAATGTTTTATAAGGAACGGGCTGCTGTCTCGTCTACCTGTCAGGCTCTCCTGATCTAACACCAGGTCTGACCTCGTTCTTCAGGGTGCTGAGGGCACCTCCCCAGGCCCCAGTCGGGGGTCCCCCCTCCCGAAAGTCTCCAAGTGAGTTGGGGACCCTTCTCGCTGGACCCCTCGCCTCCTGCCTTCGATGACGCGCTTCGGCACACCCAATTTCAGTTGGCTAGGGGGTAAGCTGAGATTTCGTTTCTGCACTTGACCTACCGCAGAAAATTCGCAAATCCTTTGATTGTCTGTTTAAAATGAGGAGGAAACCAGCTCCCTTTGCGGCGGGATTACAGTGGGAACAAGATCTAAAGATTCTCTTGTAATTCGGTGAGGCCGAGGGAATGGGTTTTTGCAAAGGAGAAAAGAAGCTCTGTGAGGGAGGCAATAACTAAATCGGGTTTTAGACAAAAGGATTTTCCTCAGCTAAAGTGGCCGAAGACAAAGGAAAACATAATCTATTTTGGAAGATTTCCAAGATATGCCATATTAACCTTAGCAGATAAATTTTGCTTCTCCCAGGCCCCCCTCTTCCCTTAAAGTCTGGTTTATCATATTTACATAAGTAGCATTAGAAGGGATGTATCTATTATGGATCTAAAGGGCTAGCTCACATTTCATGTGAAAACCCGGGCAAGTTTCACTGTTGCTTTACCCTCAGTGCGCGGTTGAGCCATTTCCATTTAAATACCCCCTGACCCGAGGATTACCTCAATGGACTGACTGCACGGGTTTTGTAATTTCCTGAAAATGAGATTTCGATTTATAAAACAAGAAACCAATTAGTAACCAAATGAGGCGAAGTAGATCCACTAAAATTGACCTAATCCCACAGGCACCATTTAGGCCCGTTCTTGGCGAATGAATGATGAGCCCCAGGCTAGCGTGAGCTCAAAGCATCATCCAGCTGTGTTATTGCAAGCAGCAAAAATAAATTGATCGAGCTTTTCCTTCGGAATGAATTTCATACCCTTGACAAAATATAGATTACAGACCCGGCATCATCACCGCCTTCACTCAGACGGGAAGAGAAGGAAGAGAAGAGCTGTTCTACTGTTCTTTCTTTCTTTCTTTCGATAAATAAACACTACATCTCAATAGCAAAGTATCTTCCTTGTAGTCCTGAGAACCTTTATCTCCCGGACAGATTGCGATCCGCCTTTTAAGCAAGGTGGAGTGGAGGGGCGGAGGAGCTGTTCCTTGACCTGACCACAACTTCCCAGGCCCCACTCCCAACTTCAGGTCCTGCAGAGGCGTGTATCTGCCCCCTAGGTTTCCCGTGGGCGGAGGGTGGAGGGGAGGCTGGCCCTGGGAATAATCTTGAAAACTCCAAATCCCGTGTATCCTGCCCGGCTTGCTCATCCTCGCTAAATGCGCAATGTCCAAGCCTTCCAGGGCTGAGGCAAAAAGTGGCCTTTGTGTTTAGGCTCCAGGTGCCTCTGCGGCTGGGCTCTCTGGCGAAAAATGAGACGGAGATTGGGTGCTACCAGCCGGGACCAAGCTCCTGGAGCAGTCACTAGCAGGAGGCCGCTTCACGCAGCTAGGCGCACCCACCCCCCACCTCAGGCTCTGGGGCCCGCCCTGCCCGCTGCCCTCTCCGGCCACCGGGCGGGTGTGGCCGAGCTACCTAGGGCGTCGGAGAGCGCGCCGGCAAGGCCTGGTTGCACACAGCAGCCTGACCCCCAGTGCGTGCCCTGTCCTCCGCTGCCTGCCGCTCTCCGGCCGGAGACACTGCGGCCGAAGGGGAATCCACTGTTAGTGTAACTCTGGGGTGAGATCAATGGTCACAGCGCTGACCCTCTCTCTCTCTCTGAGCCCCTTTCGCGCTCCGGCTCCAGAGTTTGGGCTTCCGGGTCGGGACTGAGCCTTCGGACCAAGCTGGCTGCGGGCGCCGAGCCTGCCGTGAAAGGACAGACGCTGCAGACACCAGGGGAGGTCGGGGTTCATCCAAGCCCAGACTAAAACTGGGGACGAAAATGCATGTGGGATTAACACGAGTGTCATGCATGGCGGCTGAAAAGCGTCCAGCAATATCGCCTCGGAACCCCAGGCCCTGAAATGCGGCCCGGCCGTGGCGATGCCACCTCCCTAGAGGCCGAGGCACAGGTGAATCCCGCTGCGGTTCTACTTGGCACAGGAACGCCAACCGCGGCACCGAGCCTGCCCTTCCGGGAGTAGCCCGATCGGACCAGATCTCGGCTTAAGTTTTAGACGAGCGCCAGTCCTTGGGGAAGTAGCGCGGGCAGCACGAGGGGCAGCGGGCACACACCTGCACCAGCGGGGCTTCTGCAGTGGGGAAAGGGCGGCAGAGACCCAGCCCGGCCTAGGGAGTGAGGACACTGTGCGGAGGCTGTATGTAGCTGGACCCTTGTCTGCAGCTACCGCGGACAGAGGGTGGAAACACCGTGCGGACCTGGTTGGCCCCTGCTTGGGGCGGTGCGGGAGGCGCAGTGTAAACCTCGACCTGGTAGTTGTCCCCTGGTCAGCCCCAGCCACCGAGCCACGGAAGTCGAGCGACGACGCGCGGGAGCCGCCCACTCGGTGGGGCTACCTGCGGAAGAGAGTTTGCTCCGCTGTGGACACTGTTTTAATACTTTCACGGAAGCAGGACCATTTCTAAATAATTGAGGTTCCCCCTCCTCCACACAAAATTAAAAATTGTATAGATTAGAGGCTGGCAATGGGTGGTCCACTAAAATCATTAGGTGTTAGTGGGGTGCAAATCTCGTTTTCTTAAGAAATGCTTGGCCCGACAGACAGAGAAACGCGGCAAGAATCCATGGGCTGCCATAGTGTGTCCGCTTTTGTGTCTGTAAAACCTCAAAGCTGTCAAGCAAGATCCCCCAGAACTGAAAAACAACTCCTCTAGAAATCGGGTTTGTCCTCTAAAAATTTAGCCCAGTTTTAGATTCAGGTAGGTGATTGTATCCTGCTTGACAGTATCCTACCATAGCTTATAATACCTGTTTTTGTTGTTGTTTGTTACTGTTTTTATTAGTGATCCCTCTCTTTAAAGAAAAAAGTATTCTGTTTCATTGATCTGATCTACAATTTCTAGCACATAAATCTGCCTTGCAAGTGCTCTGCACGGAGTTTAGTTCTGCACTCCACATTTTAAGTCAACATCAAAACTGGAATTAAACAGAGAAAAACAGCGTGGAGCGTAAACTGTGCTTAAAGGCTTTTAAATGAGAAAAACTTCTGTAAGAAAATAAACATGGAAACCTAATGCTCAATCATTTCCCCAAGAAGCAAGAAAAACAGCCTTAAATCACTGACCCACGTGGGAAATGGGGCCTCTTTTTCTTTTTCAGTTCTTGGCCTCAAAAAAATATAATACCATTAAGGATTTCAATCTTGAGGTGAATATTATAGAAATCGTCTGTGGAGGTTTGTTTAGTCATCCTTTTCCTTTGTACAAACTCTTTCCTGAGCAGTTACTAATTTCAACTCTATGATTATTTTTATTTTCCCAAGACATTTTGACAATGAAATGGTAGTTTGGTGTTACCAAAATTATGAATAGCTATAGATTGAAAATATGCCTCATCCTTTCAAAGTTTATTCTGCAGGCCACTACACACTCAGACAAAATTGCATTATGGCTGGATAATAAATACATATTTCTTTTTAGTTGAATTTGTCCAATTTTGCACACAAATAGTCATGTACTCTCTCTTTTTTTAAATCCTGTGTTTCTGACTTTGATAACACTAAAGATTTACACATTTTTACATGCTTCATTTTTTTTCTTTGCAAGGCTATATTAGAATAGAATGTGTTACCAGTAGGGAAATATAAAGTTTTAATGGTTTTACAGTAATCTTCCCTGAGTTTCTTCTCTTTTTTTTTCTATGAGATCTCCAATCTAATGATTATTCTTAATTATTCTAGGTACCCATATCTCATGCATTTTTCTCTCTCGCTCTGTCTCTCTCTCATTTGTGTCTCAACAGTTCAATTTCATCAACTCAGGTAAATAAAAACTCAAACTTGCCCCCAGATGAGGAAACTACTAGACCCTGGGAGAAAAATAAATAAGGAGGGAAGGAAGTGACCTGTATTTTAAGGATTTTTTTTTCTTTTTACAAACATAAGTATGGAAGGATGAATTTTTGTTTGTTCATTTAACTTATAGCCCTTTGACATTACAGGATATTATAGATGAAATGTAATATGAGCAAAAATAAGTAAAGTTTTACAGGATTGTTATGCCTATAGCTATGTCACCAGATTAATAATTATTTTAGATTGTATACCTTGCAAAATCCATATGCTATATGCCATAGAATGTTTACCATGATGCAATTGTTATCTTTATGATTCTATCCTTCAAATTTTATTGAGGACCTGTTATGTGCTAGGATGGCTTCAAGATAGATGTAAAGATGAGTTTCATCTTCAAACAATTTCATTTATCATCACTAAAAAAGATAACACTCACATAAAAGCAAAAAAGAAGAAGATAACCCCACTGCCTTGGACCCCAATTTTGTCTTGTTCAGTCAACACTGAACCCACATTTGGCACCCCCTGCAGGTTGTGCCTGGTTCTGCGGCTTGTGACTCTTACTCCTTTGAAAGCTGTGGTTTTGTTTTGGTTTTTGTTTGTTGTCGTTGTTGTTTAATATTTTAAAGGACTGCCTTCAGGTTTTGAGTTTTTGAAGCTCGTCCACTGTCAAAATTAAAACCTCAGCCTCTGAAGCCAGCTGTTTTGATGACCCTAACTCACTGGGTGGAGGCTGCGGTTGAGTTACGAGCTCAACAGTAGCTGGAGAAATAAATGATGTGCCCAGAGTTCACACATCGTCCACCCCCTCCGCCCCATAAACTCACAGTCACCCACAGAATAAGGGAGAGTAGGGTCCGGGGCTCAGGAGGAAGATGAGGGGGGCTGCAGAAAGCACAGTTGCCTTAGAAGTAGCCACAGGGGAAAGGCCAGCCCACCAAGGGGACTCCAGTGGGAGTCCTCATGGGTGAAACGCTTTAAAAATTAACAGAAGTTGGCTGTGAGAGTTTACTTTTTGTTACGTACAATGCGTTTTATAATTTGTAGAGTTAGCGTTTAATTAAACAAAGAAGCTTGCTCTTTTAAAAACAAAAACAAAACAACAAAAAATATACTCTCCCGGGGCGCGCCTGCCCCGGGTCTGCAAGACGCAGGCTGGCGTCCTCGGCCTGGCGGCTCCCCGGGCTCTCGGGTCGCTTGGTGCCCGCCCCAGAACGCCGACCGCTCCTCTCCTCCCGCACCATATGCTGCTTCTGATCAAACAGCGAGCAACATCGGCACCGATAATTGACGAGACCGGCTAGAAATCACGCAGAAAGGGAACCCACTGAGACCGCAGGGGCTGACAAATCACTGCTAATAATCCTGTTAGGAACAGCACAGCCAGCGGAGTTCGCAATAGCTTTATTTTTATAAAGTAGGCGCTGACAGTATAAAAGACAACGAGATCTCTTTTTTAAATAGAAGGCAGTGTGGCATAATGGTAATTTTCCCACCAGCAATTCTCAGCACAGTTCGAATGAGAAACGTGGTTTTTTAATATATAAGTACCCCCTCTTTTTCTTCTTCTCCTTGTTTAAAAAAAAAAAAAACCAACAACTTTTCAGGTACTTTAGGCTTTGATTCCTCTCCTCTCTCCGGTGGTTTCCAGGGAACTGTTCAAGGAACTGCTTTAAGAGGGAACGACTGACTAAGATCCCTTATAGTTTGAGGATAGAACTAAACTATAATTTGAAAGTTTTCATTTAGTGCCTCTGACTAATTTGGAGCATGTTTTGCAAGATTTTGACTTGGATAATAACTTTACTGCCAAGATCAAGAAAGTGAAACTCCAAACCCAATAATGGCTATTTCCTCCCCCTCCATTTAAAAGAAAACATTAAACCCCAAACATCTAAAATCAACAACAACATAAACCTCTAGGGGTCAAATAAGAACCTTATTTGTAAATAAACAGAGTTCTGTCTCTTGGATTTTTGTGTGTATGCTTGTTTAGTAATCTCTCTTTTACATTTCCAAATCCTTCTTCCCCAGCAAAGGTATATCTAAAATATTTTTAAATGTTTATGTTATTTGGGTGCAAGTAAAGGAAAGAATGGATAAGCAGAAGAGAGAAATGTTCTTTTTCTAGTAAGTGTAAATGGTTTCATACAGAACATGTTCTAAGAAGGCTGTTCTGCCCCCATAGAGTGAATCTTGGTAATCTAAATACAAGTTTTAAATCATGTCAACAGCTCAGCTATTCTAACTTCTAGGCCTTATAAGACAATTTTCCCAGAGTATGTTTGCCAACCTGCTGCCCAGAAGATATTTTCTAAGCAAGCTAACCATTTTAATTCAGTCTTATGTATTCGGAGAATAGGCTATTATCTTACTTATAGTAATATCAAGTCCAGAGTTGCAAATCACTAAGACCCAGAGTTAGGTTCAAAATCTGTGAATGTCTTGAAAACTCACAATAAATTTGCTATAAGCAGTCAAGAGATGGAATAAATTCAGGACATATTTGTTCATGAATATGTCTCCTCATCATTTGCAGAATTATAGACATATGGAGAAATTATTATCTGGCTTAGCTAGTTCCATGTACATGTGTCTATCTATATCTAGCAAAAATACAGAATTTGGCAGTGCTCCTGCTTTCTACTGGATACAATTCTAACAAGAGGAATAAAAAAGAAAGTCATGTTTGGATTAGTAGTACTTTCAATTGAGCCCAGTATCTGAAGTGTTGACAAAAGGACTGTTGGTCTGTTTCCCAACCAAACATATCTGATGGACTGAAGAGAAAGTATTACTGGGGAAGTAGAGGGATCCTCAAAAGGCAACAGGAATTCTGAGTTCAGCAAGGACCTTAGTCAAGCAGCCAGACTAAACTTCCCTTTGCAGAGAATATATATGTAAATATGTATGCACTTCTTTGCTCACTGGTCTAGGCTCATTGCCTGGCAAATCTGCCTTTGAAATTCCATCTGGTCAAAGTCACTTACCTTCTGGGAACACCACTCTCATTTTGAGATAGCTGGTCGTGAGTCTGATTATGGACGCTTTGTCCAGCTGCGAGGTGATAGCCGAGGGCAAAGGCAGTAATTTAGCCAGTTCATAAAATTCACTGTTTTCCTTCTCCCTCCTAGTCCGGGCAGCATTTTTGGACTTTTCTTTCATTGTGTCTCGTTCCCCCTTTCTTCTTACAGCGTACGCTCCACAGATTCATCCAAAATCAAAAATAAACTTTCAATTAAAGATCATATTTGGCAAAAACATAAAACATACTTTCAATGAAGAGGCTGAAGTCTTAGCACTGGGAAGAGTGTATTGACGGCATTAAAAGACCAGGACGGCGAACAGAAGCTATTTTCTTTGAAAATGCGAGATGCAAGTATGAGAAAGTTGCTGATCCACGACAATTTGGACAATCCTGGGGGGGTCTCCCGGTATCAAATGCCAGCGGGCCCCCTGCGGAGCCAGCCTTTTCTTCTGTTCCTCACGGCGAACCCGGGTCCTCGGAAAATCGACATAATAATCCCCGACGTTTGCTCTTCAGTCTCGCGGCGTTGGAGGTGGCTCGGAGCCCCTTTGGGAAGAACTGGAATCCCAGACAACTCTTTCAGGCCACTGTGAAGATAACGGCATCAGAGTGTAAGAGATCTGCGGCTCCACAATCACTCACACACTCGTTCCAATTCCAAAAAACGGTCGGAAAGGGCCTCAGCGTCTCTTGCCAGGCTCGGTGTTTTGGGGTTGATTTTTAAGATTTGGAGAAATCAGCAGCGAGACTCAACCCCCTGCAAATAATGCTCGCATTCCCTCACCCATGCCAGCCACAATCTCCAGCCCCCTGGGAAGTTGCCCAAACAACAAAACGCGTATTTTTGAAGACCCTCAGGAGACCTTGCTGCCGGGCCCCGCGCCCGCACCCAGGCCAGGCGCGCGTCCCAGGAAAGCCGGTTCTGGCAAATCAAAATTCCTCCACAGCGGTGCGGGCGCCTTTCAGTTCCCCGACCCTGGCAGGGCTGGAGCTTGACTACCTTCTAAACGTGAGTCTCAAGTCTGAGGGATTCCTCAAAAAGTGACACTTACACATCAAGTCCCTCGGGGCTCCCAAGGCGACCCAGCGCTCGCGGCCCAGCAGGGGCGGCAACACGCGGGGCACAGCAGCGCCAGGTTAACAGGTGGCACACTCACGACAGCCCCTCGCAGGCGCCTAGGGTGGGAGGCGTCCCGGCCTCTCCCCTTTCGCCACAGGGCTGCGGGAGCCGCAGGGCGGGCGCAGGGTGTCTTCTGCTTCACCTACCTTCACTCTCCGCAGGCGGCAAAGGGTGCGGAGGCGCCCATCTCTTAATTGCACTCATGCCTACAGTCGGACCGAGCAACTCCGCCGGCCTCTCGGCTTCCCACCGGCAGAGAGGAGCGGAGCATTCCCAGGCTCCCTTTTCTTGGTCATGAACTGGGGGAGGGGTGCGTGGCAGAAGTGGGGATGAGGGCTTTGGGTTTAGAATCCCCCTCCTCGGTAGTTGCTGCAAAGCCAGTCCAGTATTATTCTTAATTGGAAGCCGAAAACGCCCCCCCTCCCCCTTAACTTCTTTACAGCTTACAGGATTTAGCTTCAACTTCACTCCCGGACTCCTCTCTCCCGCCCTCCCTCCATGCCACTCACAAGCCTACTCGCCTGTTATTGGTCCGGTGCGGCCCTGGGCGCGGCGCTCATTGGCCAATGGGGCTGAGTGACGCGAGTATGCCCCACACCGGCCCCCGCGCTCCCCAGCTCCCAGCTCGCAGTCTTACTACCCGCGTGGCCGCTGCGCTCGTAATGAGCCCGGGGTGCTGGGGTCGGCGCTGCCCGGCTGCCGCCGCTGCTCCCGGCCTCCGGGGCCTTCCCGCGGTTGTGCGGGCTCTTTGGGGTTGGGTGGCTGAGCGCTCAGCCCAGCGCGCCGGCTCCACAGTGCGGGAGACGCCATGGGGCTGCGGCAATGGGCTGCCGCCCCGGCCGAGGAGGTCGTGCTGGCAGGTTGGGGCACCCAGCCGGCGAGGCTAGAGTCACCTAGACTGCGGGTGGGGTTCGCCCAAAGGCCCACCCCGCAGGCAGGTCGCGGGGACCACGGCGTGACAAGGCCGGCCCTGGGCTTTCTTTTCTCTCTCACGTTTCTCTGAAGCCACAGTGACACTGAATCACGGCCAAAGGAAATAAATACAATACCTGTCTTTAAATTAATCCCAAAGAAAAGAGTCTTTTTCGAAATGGGTTGGGTTTCAGGGCTGATTTGTGCACTGTGGAAGACTCCGCCAGGGAGTTCTCCTATGGGGGGCAGCGAGGGGACACTAGGGGAAAAGAGGTTACACTTCAAAACAAAATAGAATTAGAGTGATGGACAGATAGATTTTCCACAACAATCGGTTATCTTAAATGTCAGCCAACTTTTTGTTGCGTTTCGTTTTGAGGAAAAAAAGTCCAACATGAATATTCCTTACAGAAAGCATACGGTATGCATGAATGCATTTACAACGTTCACAATTCCCCACTAGGAACTGTTTAAACAAACGCTCGAAAAGTAGTGCTAACAAGTATCTTAGAGAGCCTCTCATTTGATTCGCCTTCTCTTTCTCTCATCTAAGACAACAGATAGCAAGGAGACAACAGAAAGCAACGAGAAAAGTTGAGTTGCCCCAATGACAATTATTGCTGCTCATGAATCACCCCGTACAGACGCGATTCCCCGCTTGGTTTGGGTGCTGCTGGTGACCACAATTCTGCTCCTGGGAATGCATTTGGAGGCAGTTGTTTCACCCGCCATAAAAGTCAGTGAGGACACCAGGGACTGTGCACTCGTCCCCTCGTTTGTGGCGCTAATTGTCACTGAGAAAATAAATATTCTGAAGAGGAGTAGGTGTCATTCTACTGATATTCAGAACAACTTTGAGAGTATTTGTTTAAAAATACAGACATCTGCCGCCTCCCTGCCGCCCGATGGCAGTAAACTCGTAGAGGGACAACGGGAGCTTTGGGGGGCGGGAGTGGTTTTTGTACATCTGGGCAACACCTGGCAAGAGAAGGTGAACGTGTTGGATAGAAACAAAGAAAGAGAGAAAAGCATGGAGATTTTGTAGGTGTTTCGAAACAGCAATCCGGCTGTGGGCTCTAATCTAGAAGAAGGAGTCATTTCCCCAGTGGCTGTAGTCACTTAGAGACCTGGCTCTAAGAGGGTTCCAACCACTGACGGATGCACTTTTAACAAGAGATACGTAGGAAGATAGAGATCCATTGTAGCTCTTATCTCACTTATACACAGGACTACAGAAAGATAAGGTCAAGTTAGCTGCTACAGTAAAGATGGGGGTAGGGGTAATGCGTTCGTAGAGGGGATGGAACCTTTCGTGACTCTCCTTCCTCTGCCAACCTGGCCAGATCTTAGTGGTAAAATGGAGCCTCCAGGAGAAGCAATGACACTTTAGGGTTAAGAAGCGGTTTTCTATTACGACTGTGTGCTAGAAAAAAGATTTCGTCAAGTCTGCGTTTCTCTACCCTATCTCTACTTCAAACAACAAGCAGGTGAGGAAGTGCCTTTCTGGCGTCTGAACCCTGTATTCAGGGCAGGGACTGGGGGAGGGGATGTCAGCGGGTGCCGGGCTTCTCATACAGGGCGCATTTCTGGCGGAAGAAATGCAGTATTTTGCCTTCCGAAGCGAGATGGGTAAAATACGTATGGACGTCTTCACACCAAAGGCCCATGTCCTGGGAGGGCTGGGCGGGCTGTCCCAATGTCCCAGTAATGCTCAGTTGTCAATGAACCGCGTAGACGTCGTTTAATAAACAAAGTGAATGCACGGCCATGAGGTGATGGCCCCTTGCTAAGTCCTCCGCACACAACGGTCTGAGCTGCGTTTACCGAGAGAGTGAATTAGCATGACGACGTAACACCTGTTTTTCTAATCTTCGAACCTAGGTTGGAGACGGAATGCGGCTCCTTCACTCCCCCGCCCCGGCGCAGGGACCCAGCTTCGCACCCTCCCGGCGACCCCACCCGTCGCCCCCACGCGCGCCCTGCTAGCCCGAGGCGCGAACCGTGAACCCGAACCTCGGGTGCCTCCCAAGTGTTCTGAGAGTGGCCTCTAGCACGGGAAATTTTAAATATGTTTCTCAAGGCTGAGAGAGCCCCCGAAAGGAACAGAGACGGGGCACGCGCGACCCACCAACACCAAACGGAGACCCTTACGGAGTGTAGGCCGCCGCCTCCCCGCGCGAGGGCCTGAGCACCAAGCTCTCTGGCCCTCAGGCACCCGGAACGCGATCCTGATGCCTATCTATAAACAAACACGTCTCTCCTTCCCCCACCAAGGAGAACAAACAGTCTAGAGTGATGGCGACATTGTTCCCTTGAGAGTCCCTTCCACGTCTGGGGTGACCCGGGAGGCTGTCCTCAAGGAGCCTGCCCTCTGCCCGGGACGCCAGGACCTGCAGGCGTCTGCGACTCTAATGGTTGCTGCAGTCCGCCGGACGCGCATTCGGGAACCACCGCGCCCCTGCATTGAAGTCCCGCGCACCGCGCCAGCCCAGAAGGAAGGGGAGGAGGCACCGAGGGCCGCCTGACCTCTCCCGACAAAAGGCACAAACCCGACTACAAAAGGTGAACCTTGAGTAGTAAAAGAACAAGTGAACGCCTGGAGGAATTTCGGGGCAAACGGCACTGCCAGGTTTCAACGCTGTGGGCCAACCCCTGCTCCGGCGTAGACCTCCACCCTGCCTTGTGATAACTCTTCTCTGCTTTTGGCTGTTTAACCATGTAACCAAAACTAGAGTGATTTCACCTACCCCCCACGCCCCGCTTTTTTACAGACTGCTAGGGATGCACAATACACTTTTACGTGCTGGAACATCACATTTGCACATTGTACAAAGCACACAGACATGGATTTTGCTCAATGGCCAAGGTCAGGATGAAGGATATATTTATAATTAAGATTCAAAATCTGAAGATGGTTACTTAACCATCTCAGTATGTTATATCCAGATGTTCACTCTCTACCTCGGAAAAAGTCAAGTTAGGGAAATATTAATATTTTAGGAAATGTCAACGTTTTCTACTTCCATGTTCATAAGTCAATATAATCTTGCTCTAGACCCATTTCATTACCACATTTAGAAGTTGACGTCTCTGTGAAGTCGTTGTGATGTTGAGGCAGAAACAAAGGCCCCTGGCAACTTTGACACTGTGGAGCCAGCCTGCTAGAAAACAAAGGATAGGAGGAGCCTCCAAAAATAGGGTCATATTTAATATTTTAGAAATTATGGCAGATATTTGTTGTCTGAGCAGGACGTATTGAAAAGTATAAGAAATTTTACACACATGCCAAAAATCCTTTTCTGTGGTACTGCTTTTCAGGCTTCTGCATACATTGGCCCATTAGATAACAAAAAAGAAAAAAGAAAGAAAATAGCTTCAGAAGTTACACACTGGGGGGAAAAAACAGAAACCGCACTTGAAAAATGAGAGTAGTAAATACAAGTAAGGATTTTATATAGTCTCTTTAAATATTCGGGGGGATATTTCCCACTCTGATTTTGAAACCGTGATCTAAAATATAACCTTGAGCTGGTTGCTGAGAAATTAGTATTTCTTAAATTGTGCATCACTGTATTTGCAGACACAAATTTTAAACTTTAAAAGAATATAATTGTTTTTCAAAAAATGGTGGCTGGAAAGAAAACTCTGATCCTGTGCATCCCGAGGACAAGCGAAGGTGGGTGCCTGGCCTGCGGCTCCAGGTGTCAGCACTTTTCACACTTTTCCAGAAATCGACCTGGAGATGATGCATGTGCATAATTCAGCAAAGCTGGATACAGGAACACAACCGAGGTGTTCAAACGCTGGAGATGAACATTGGTTTGCGAATAGAGTTGAAAGACATGTTGATTCCTACATAAATCGGTTCGGATTGAATTCCAGGCCAAAGCAGGCTCTTGGTAAACCTGGCGGCGCCAGGGCTGAGCTCATGACGCAGGGGTGGGACCAGTCTGGGTCAGTGGCCTCAGCATGGGCTGGATCCGGAGGGCAGGTGCCTATGTAACGCCAGGTCTCTAACACAAGTCCCTCATCCCTCTGGCTTTGAGACCCTTTGGACTAGGTTTCTAGAGGGTTCTCCCCCTCTCTGAGCCCCAACTTGCCTTCCAGCCCCTGGCGCCAGTGTACCCCGGAACTATGCCTCGAGGGCCTAGCCCTGTATTCCCTAGGCGGGGTGGGGTGGGTAACGGAGTCTGGGGAGGAGGATCCCTCTAATCTATAAACAGATGGCCGGCTTCCAGACTTGGCCAACCCTCGGGGTCAGCTGGGGTGGAAGTGGTGGCGGAGGACGGCCTTTAAATGTGGACCCTCGGGCCCCACCCTGATTAGGAATCAGAAATCCCAGTCTGATTCGGAATAGGCATTCTGTAAAGGGGGGCAGGGACTGGACCACTCGGCAGCTCAGAACGCCAGGGGGGCGGGATGGAAGATGAGCTCAGAGCGAAAGGCGTGGGAGCCATCCGGCCGCGCAATAAAGGCGACCCAGACTAGTCCTGAGACGGGACAGCAGTCGCAGCATATCCCGAACGGAGGCGCCGAGCAACT